CGATTCAAGATTTTCTATGGAATGAGGGTTCCAAGTTTGAAACATTTACAAAAATGACTACACGTATGATCCATACACCTAATATTAAAGCTGAAACTTCGAAGACTTCAAAGGCAAAAAAGAAAAAATATACTTCATAATTATTCATTAAATGTGATTTATGGTTTTAACCGCAAACCCTAATAATCCCATCATTATCCTTATTGCAAATTATTAACAATTTTCAATACTGTTACTACATTAATAATTACTGTTTATCACAAGAATTGCTATCTTAGGAAAATACACTTTATAATATGTAGGCTGATAGTAAACATGAAAATAGAATTAGCAAAAAAAAAGAAAGAGGGGGAACAATATAAAGATCAATAGGAAATAGACTAATAGTTACAAGACAAAGATAGTGTGTAATTATTACAGTAATTGTAAATAAATTCATTACTTGCGTACATATGTATATACTATTTGCTAAAAAATTTTCTTATATGTAAAGCAAAATAATTTGAAGTTGGTCCAATGATCAATGTAAATTTGGGTATCATTTGTAGAAGAGATTTATTTTTTTATCCTCTTCGGATGCAGAATCGCTTTCCTTACTATAATGCATCTTTAGTACTACGTAGAAATCTAATTTATCAAATTATGTATATATTATAATTTATCATCTGTAGATCCATTACACAATTCATAAAAGGACTTTTTATATTGTTTTAAAGTACTTTTTTAAAAAGCTCACGTTATTCGAATTATGCAATGCGGCATATCAGTTCTCTTTTTTGAATTTGACCGGTTTCGTTGATTGAAATTAACTGATTAGCTGCATACTAATTTTGATCGGTTTAAATGCTATGGAATTTATTGGTCAGGCATATATGGGTCAGATCGTCATGGAACATTATATAAGCTTAGCAAATAGGCATACTCCTCCGATAGCACACATTTAGAAGTCTAATAATTATGGATCACGCAAAGACTTTAGATAAAAATGTAATGCCGGATGAGGATTTTATTATAGATTCACCAGCGAAAAGATGGTTAAATTGGATGTGCGATTTAAAGATAGATAATTGGTCTACTTACATAACTTTAATTTTCGCGCTTTACGTTAGATGGGCTGTGGGTTTGAATCCTTATTCTGGCAAGTTTTTATGTTATTACACTAAATAGCTATTTTGTAAAACTCGTTTAAATGATCAAATTCAACAATTATGTCGGTTGATGATTATCTCAGGTTATAACACTCCACCAATGTACGGTGATTATGAAGCGCAAAGGCATTGGATGGAACTTACCTTACATGTTCCAATTAATCAATGGTATTACTACGATTTAGATTGGTGGGGCCTTGATTATCCTCCATTAACAGCATATGTGAGCTGGATTTGTGGTAAAATGTATGGTTGATTGAAATCAATTCTACAGCTTTTCTTTTTGATTTGTCTTATTTCTTTAAACAACTTTTTAGTGGTTATATACTTGATCCAACCTGGTTTGCATTGGATAATTCACGTGGTTATGAAAGTGACGAAAGTAAATTGTTCATGAGATCCACAGTTTTAATTTGTGAATATTTGATTTATGTACCAGCGGTTTTAATATTTACTAATTGGTGGTTTGCTGGTAATTCATGGAAGAAACGGGTACGTATCCAAACGGTTCCAAACGGTTCCAAATTTGATTACTTATTGCCACAATTGCTTTGTCTAAATCTATACTTTATTAGGAATTGGCAATATTGTTGATTCTTTTGCAACCTGCTCTTATATTAATAGATAATGGTCATTTTCAGTATGTATAAATTGCCATTATTAATGGTGGCACTTATGCTGAAACTGGCTACTTCGGAAATTTGGGGTCCCATTTAAATCTGATACCCATATATGAGTGCTGCCAAATTAAATCCTGGAACTAAACTTAGAAATTAAAAAATTACAAAAAGGACCCCAAAATTTTTAAAAATTTTAGTAAAATAGGTAAAATTTCAGCATCAGCTGCCACAATTATTATTATTATAGCCATTTATTTTTCATTAAAAGCTTTCATTTTTCACTTTTTGCATATTTATATCAGGTATAATTCTGTAATGCTTGGTCTAACTCTGTGGGCGGTCAATTGCTTTTTCTATGACCATGATGTTTTAGGAAGTGTATTCTTTTGTCTTGCCTTGAGTTTCAAGCAGATGGCACTCTATTTTGCTCCCGCAATTTTTTCGTACTTGTTAGGAAAGTGCATAAAGAATGATATACGAGGGTAACTATTCATATTGTTTTTATTATTGCCTGTCAAAACTTAATGAATCAATCTAATACATAGCTCATATGTACACAGGGTTATTAAGTTGGGCATTACAGTAATTGTTACTTTTGGAATAGTATTTTGTCCTTTCTTAGTTTCTCTAGAACAAATTTCACAAGTCATTATTCGCATATTCCCATTACAACGTGGATTATATGAAGACAAAGTCGCGAATATTTGGTGTGCAATTAATATAATTATCAAATTGAGAGAAATTCTGAGTATTCAAGCATTGGCTAAAATTAGGTAATATATTATTATATCATGATAATTTATTAGCATTCGTTATAGCATAATATTTATGGTATTTACCTTTCAAATTTAGTCTTGTCACCACCTTATTGGCTATTTTACCATCATGCATTCATCTCGGATCAAATCCTGATAAACGTTATCTTATTTATTGTTTAGCAAATTCTTCGTTGGCATTTTTCATGTTTTCATTTCAAGTCCATGAAAAATCCATTTTATTATCCGCTTTACCTGTTAGTCTATTAATTTTAGATGATACTTTCTGGTGTTCTTGGTTCATGAATGTTGCAGTGTTCAGGTATAATATTATTAGCAGACAATTAAGTACATTGATATTAAAGACACTAATAAGTATAATAAATATTTATTAATATATTAGCATGTTTCCGCTATTAAAAAAGGATAGATTAGTTTTGCCATATTTCACAGTATTGCTTATGTGGAACTGGATGGGCTCTTTCATCAAACAAGATACCAAACCTATAATATTGAAATATTTATCATGGGTGAGTTTCATTATTTATTAAACGTTATTTGCATAATTATGCTTTGCTAATCATCCTTAATTATTTTATTTAAGGTATCATATTCTATGATGGCATTTATTCATATATTAGAATTTAATATTCCACCACCAAAAAGATACCCTGATATTTATGTTGTCTTAAATGTTATTTTTAGTGCGGGCATGTTTACTATATTTTTATTTTACTTTAATTATCGGCAAATCAAGTCGTTAATGGTTAAAAGAAAAGCTGAATAATATTTATTAAATCTGTATAATTTAATAAAAAGCATATAGTTTGATGTGACAAATTATTAATATTACTATTATATAGCTATAAATAGAGTATGGTTTATTTATAGATCTATTTAATAAAAAATTATTGGATCATTCTTATGTGATCAACATACGGGCAGGGACCAGAGAAAATATTGATTTATTTAGATCAATATAAATTGATATTTTTGGGTCAAATCGTGGGTAAATCGATATTTTTACGAATCTTTCTGTAGTGTAACATTACACAATACTGGT